AGCTTTTTGTTTACGCCTTTACGCCAGTATTAGAAACAAATAATTCTAATATTAAGTTTGTAAGCTTCTGTAATGATAATTTAGATCTAATATTTGTTATTTGCTAATGTTGTTGTGTTATGTAGGACATGGTGGGATGCAACCTGCACGCGCTGCAGTGGGCGCGGCGCGAGGTGGAGGCGGACCGCAGCGAGCAGCTGTTCCGCGTCTCCACCGGACAGCGCCGCGCTCGCCACGCCCGCACCAAACTGCGACACGCCCTCAAACGACCTATCGTTTCTATCACTTAGATATTATAAATATACTTGTTTAAAATTTGTGTTTTATTAAATCAAACCTTCATTTAGTGTAGATTGGAAATGTAAGGTTTTATATGACACATCGTGATGCAACCTGCACATATCTGAGAAGAAATTCAAAGATATGTGTGAAGTCAACCCGGACTAGGCCTGCGTGGTTGACTATGGCCGAATCCCCCTTAACTTAGGGTAGGCTCCAACCCCCTCAATGGGGACGTATAGTGAGCTGATGATATGACATATAGATAATGTAAAGTTTTGTTTTGGTCTTACCTTATTAGATTAAAGTTGGGTTATGTAAAGTAAAACAAACAAAATATCTGCTATAATTTATTTGTAAAAAAATATTCTACTCACTACATAGCCAATATATCAGTTAAATTTTTAATAATTTAAGTTTCCATCCCTGCGTAAGTCACATTATTTATCATCTATACAACAATAATTAATGTTTTTTTCACAATGAGTATTCCGGCAACTTTTCACCTAACTATATAATCGTTCAGATAATTTATGCTGAAACTTACATTTAAAACACATAGTCACATAATTTGACAACAATCAATAAATTTAATGGTCCTTCAAGCTTATTGGAAAGTAGACTTTACACTATTTACGTGATTCCTATGCGAAATTAAACTTATATATCTTATACGAAGTACATGAAATCTGTCCTAAATACATTTCTTTTGCGTTGGGTAGGATTTTTAGTTTCACAGAATTTATACATTAAATAATATTTTTTGATCACTGAACGAGGAGTCACAGCAACTAGATGACGTCATCAATACAGATATACGAAAATATGTAATAACTCAGCATATCTAGAAACTGAGCTCCTCGCACAGTTTTATAATAATTGACATATTAAGTTTTCTGTCAAAGTGCGTACATTCCTCAACACTACTTATCACAATGTTATTGCTTCTCGAAAACACAACTACATTCTCAAGCATATCACATTTGGACTAAAATATTTTCAACATTTAAATGAGAGATAGAGAGAATCGTTAAATACGTATCAACAAAAGAGGTCACACAGTTTGCCTGTCAGTCTTTAGCCCTTGAAATTGGTCAAGAGGACATAATTTTATGATTCTAAAGCCAATATTTCAGCATAAATTATAAATAATTCACAACAGAACGGGTATATGCCACATCATGGCGACGTGGGGCGCGGGGAGAAACGAAATCAAACGCATGCATGTTAGGGCGTAAGCACACACGACACAACCGGTTTGTTAGTAACTTATATTGATTATACATTGTTCAGCAATACTTTATATCAATACATATCAACAAATTAACCTAAAAATAATAAATAAACCGAATGGAAGAGCGAAAAAAAACTATTTCTTAACGATATGTGGCCTGTAAGATCTAACACAGCAAAAAATACCAAATCAAACTTTTTCGAGCGCAAATCACGTAAATGTAGATTAATAACTAAATATAAACGTTACTTTTGAACGTCAACCTAGTTTATAACTAATAAAAAAATACGTAACTAAGAAAAATGTACAGATTTATAATTAAAAATCGAAAAAAAAAAATAATACTGTATCACTACTGCAAGCAGCAATGTTAGTGGAGAATGGAAACAAATTGCACGATCACAAGAGCAAACTATAGTGTGTCCTTTATTTGTGATTGATAAATATCTAAATATCATTGGGTTTATCTTTCACTACATATACGATTTAAATAACGATACAAAAATCAATTTTAAAAATTCAATAAATGAGATTTCAAAGATTTTAAACTTTACAAGTATTCAGAGAGCCAAAAATTAGAGAGCGTAACACTAACAGTTTATTGTCTATGCGAAATATCACGCGGACGATTTAAGCAATGCTAAGAAAATCATAACATGAACGAATACTGCGTACTGCGATGATAAAGAATAAATAATCTCAAAATTTTAAAGCTATTAAAAAATACGATATTGTTAACGCGTGTTACACGAAAATACATTTAAATACTCACAATATAACGACCGAATTGACAGCTAACAAACAAAAAGTCTCATAAACGCAATTTGATTGAAGTGATAATGATTCGTTTTGTTAAGATTGGATTTATTTTATCATCTGACAGTTCATGTCAAAAATTTCACTGACAGCTGTCAAAACTGACGTTTAATATTTGCGAGGAGTGATAGCTGCCACAGCACAGCACAGGCGGCCGGCGCTCTTCAGACGAGCAAGCTCTAGTAAGTATTATCACAATGTCTCATAGACTGTGCATTTTACTGGCCCGTGGGGGATTCAATAATAATAAATAAATTAAGACTAAATTAAGTAAAGACGTTAAGTAAAAGGACGGGTGAATATGAGTTTCGATAATTATAAAAAAAAAATGTGAAGCGACGCAACGACCAGTTAAAATAAACTTAAAGTAAATGCCCCTCGCATTGGAGTTAACACTGACCGACGACGATATAATGCCACGATAGTTTGGTTCGGGATACTTACGAGTCGAGTAGTCGCTCCTACATCGACAGTTAACCTAAACCACTATACTATAAAACATACAACGCCAAAAAACATACTGTTACAAATTAAAAAAAAATCTCGAAAATAATTCTTACCGCAACACCAGCGGCGAATACAATAAATGTATCGAATAATATCTTTGTTATTGCTTTATCGATATTATAATAATTATAACACTACAATCTTTATCTTAATATTTAAATACAAGAAGATTCGCGAAAAATATATAATATTTAGAGAGACTCACTTGTCATTATTGCTTCGTAACAGATCAAATTCTTATACCCTAAAAATACTCGAGGGAAATGAAATACTTACATTTTAAATACTGACCGAAATGGGAAATAAATTACACGTTATAATTTTAACGGCTCGAGAGCTGCTACTTAGCTTAGTAAAAAAATTTTATACAATAACTTACTAACGAATGGCTAAAACTAAAATGAATACTTGCTTCCTGCAATAGGTAACCGTAAATATAATTTTAATATCAGAGAGAGCATTTTAAGGCAAGGCGATACGCTCCGACACAACCGCCTCCGAACACACACAAACATATACATACAAAAATTGTATGTCATGTTAAACTTGGCAAATATGCACTTAATGCATTGGATGCTATTTGCTTTACCTTAATACTAAAGAACACGGATGACAAAATTATCGACCGATTATAAATCTTAATCCTAAAAAATGTGCTTTAAAATTTAATTGTATAAAGAATTGAAAAACATTGGTCACTGGATTTCGTTTATGACAATATTATTAATTAATTATAAAACGTTTGCATTGCAAATATTTTTACTGTGCCTTAAATATCATAAATGACATAAAAAAAATCTGGTAACAGACAAAAAAATCGGTCGATTATTTTCTTAAAAAAAAAAATCCGTAATTATTTTTTTGTTCGCTAATTTCGCGGGAAGATTTTAAAACTATACAATGTGTATTATTCAAACTTAATCCATTTAAAATTTTAAAATATTCAAATAGGCATTCTGAGTCTTAATATACAAAAATATTTATTTTTAAAGTAATCGGATAGTTATTCTATCCGTGTATACTGGAATACTGGTCATAACCTTCAGTTTAAGAAAAACTGCACACAAACATATTATTATCTCTTTCATACTCTTTAGAATGACAGAGATAGTGATATGTTCACAATCGACTACATAAATATGTATACATTTGCTACGAAAATTTGTATACAAGTTCGGCAAATTGTATACTTATTTCTTAAGCTTTATAAATGTATACATATTTATGCAGCTGACTGTACATGTGTTTCAACAGTATAAAGCCACTGTAATATTGTATTGTTATAATTGTATTTGGAAGTAAACTTTTAACATCATAAACTATTGTCTTTCAGACACTGGCCTTTCTATCACTATTGGAGGTTGGTTAATGCGCCAATATTTATATAAATTAAATTCTCACACCCAGAATCAATATGTGATCACTAAGGGACACTCTCTTAAGTCTCTGAGTGCAGTATATGTGGTAGTTAAATTTTAATACTTACATATAATTTTAAAACCGATTGTATAAACTATGAACAGCCTATTTAATATTGCTTTTAGTTATCAATAATTATTCGGTAATTTGGAGTATTCTCGTGATAAATGGATGACATACTTATGATAAACAAATTAAATAGTAATTTTATGATTAAATACGAAAAAGAAATACTGTTCGAAATCAGGTTACATCTGTTCAACTAAAAGATTTTTTTATAATCACATAAACTGTACAGTCAGCGACAAAATAAATGAAGTGAATCTTTTCTGTACGGACATAATATTTTATTTGTAAAAAGTAAATAAAAGGAGTAAGCTAATTCCGTAAAACATTTATGGTTATGAATCATTTAATATTACTATGATAAGAGATTTTATAACTTATTTCCATAATACTTGACGATATTTGGAGCTGACTGTACATTATAAACAACGTCGTTACTTTAATCCCAAGTTTTCACTGCGGAAGTTTAATGTACCCACAGTTAAAACATAACTTTCGGCTAAACATGACAGCAGAAAACAAAAAAAAATTTTTAATCTTATTCTTCTTTTAATTGACTATTTCTTTTTACTTCCTATGGTTGATAAATAAATTATTGACATTAAAAACCTCATAAATAAATTTGAAAGTAAATTTTACGTGTTTTGCGAAAATATAAATTTTCCTTATACGCTTTCTTTACTGCTGTCAATGATAGAGTTAATACGAGAACAAAGTAAAACAAAAGTGCAATAATTCAAATATATGACAATGAGAGAATGGGACAGGAATACTGGGTATAAGTGTGTGTGAGTGAGATGGGCGTTACGTGTATGGTGGGGGCGTGGTGCGCCGGGGCGGGGGCGGGGTCGGTGCTCTGCGCGGCGGTCAGTGCGTCTCCTCGGCCACGTGGCTGGCAAGGTTCAGCGGCGCGTCGTCGTACTCACTCATACTGGGATCCAACTGGGAACAAATATTTTTTTAATTAATAACAGGTATGAATATGGGAACTGTAATTCACATTTTTTTCATTTGTGGATGTCTAAGATTCATTTTTCTATTTTGACGAATTTAGGTGGCCTACGAATGTTTAGATGTGTTAGTTATGTAGCGTTGTGTGTACGGTACCGGCGGCAAGCTGCGGTGCGTGTGCGTGTTGTGAGCGTGCAGCGCTGCCAGCAGGTGCGGCTGCAGCTGGCGGCGCAGCGCCGACAGCACAGCCTCCTCGCTCGCCTCACCCCCCGCACCGACACCACCGCCCCCGCCTCCACCACCGCCAGCACCGCCCCCGCTCTCCGTCACCTCCGCACACGAGCTCGCGTTTCGACGTGACTCTGTTGACACATTTAAATAAGATGCTGGTAGTAACCAGTATTAATACAGGATGGGACGAACAGGGTTATGAACGAAGCTCCTAGTGTTGATTTAGTGTACGAAATCTACCCTAGGGAAGTGTTTAAATCGAGTGTGTAAATGTGGCAGTAATTTAAAAAGGTAATTGTAAGAGTGTGAGCAAGAGAGATAACTTATGTGTACTGACTGTTCCTGGCGTGTTTGCCGTCATGTCGCGGGCGGCGGCGGCGCGTGTGTATAGTGTCGCGGCGCATGGCGGTGGGGCGCGGCACGCCGTGCAGCTTGTAGTAGAGGCCGCATGCGTTGCACACCATCTCGCCGCGCGCGTCACGTCGCCAGATGGTAGTGGTGTGCGTGCCGCAGTTGCTGCACGATAACTCTACGCGCGCAACGTTGCGGGCACCCCCCGTGCCCCCCACGCCTGCTGCACCCCCCGTACCCGTCGTGCCAGTGCACGCTTCCGGTGGTTCTTGCTATAAATATTGAAAAATTCATATGATAAACATTTACTTAACCTTACTACTACTATAGTAACACCCATATAATAACAACATATCAAGATCTTACGTTCTCTGAGGCTGAGTGAGGCCAGGCTTGGGGCGGGGGGTCGCAAGCAGGCTGCGCCCGAGCCGGGAAGCTCTGCTTCCTGCGCGCTGTGCCCCCCGACATAGCCCCACTACCCGTGCGCCCAGAACTCGTCCACTCGCCATTCTGTTAGGTTAAACTTTTTCTTTTAGACTTTTACGGGAAGGCAGCTGTTGGGCGCGGGCACATTATAAGCTACTTTTATAATTTTCCGCTTAGGAAATTTCGAGCCATCGCCAGTGTTAAATAATTGTAAAGGAAAAAAATTAAGGTCACAGTATAAAAATGATTCATTAGTGATGTAAAAAGAATGAACATTTTCACATCACAGTGTTATTGACTCGGACAAAAAAAAAGTTCCTCTCAATGACAACGGTCGACGACATCGAACATAATTACAACGATCAACTGTTGATATATTAAAATTATGCTAATTTTTCAAACTTATCAAGTTATATACATGTTAGTCATATCTACAAATGATATAGTCAAATATTTAATTATTTTTATATTATTCCTGTTACCATTACATATTATGAAAGATATCTTTAGCATTTTAGCTAATAACACAGCAGATATAGTTGTTTGAACTTATTTAAAGATAATTTTACCCTATCATTTTAACAGTGGTAGAGCCCGCTTTAACATCTTCGCACGAATCGGCCCGGCTCGCCCGGTGAAATACCACGACCACACAGAAGACAGGTGTGAAGTGGAAGCAATTCCGCGTTTCGTATGATGTGTGTGCGTCCCGGAGGCCTAATTTAGTCCTCTTTGCCTTCCCATCCTTTTCTTTATAAGATGGGAAGTGGAACTGGACTTTCCGGATGAGAGGATGCAAGGAAAGGGAAGATATCTTCTTTCTGTGCATCCTCTCCTCCGTCGATTAAAGGTAGGCAACACATATGCGATTGCGTATGTCTATGGGCAGCGGTCACTTCGCTATTCCAACGATTTCGGGTGGCCGCTAGCTCGTTTGCCACCTTATAGTATAAAAAAATCATTGCTCATTTCTAATACTATGATATAGTAAAACGTCTCGAGCCAAAGTTTAGCCTACCTATAAGTATCATGTTATAACATTACTAGGATCATTGTTCGTAGGTCAGTCTTCAAACTTTTATATAAATTAGTAAGAAATAAAAAGGCAATAAAATTCCCAAGAGAACATTTACAGCTTTATATCACTAGATACTGAAACTTGCTTATTCTTTGTTACCTCATTTATGTATACCTTATCCTTATTTCCGATTCGTATAAAATATTAAAAACCCACACGGCAATCTTACTAATATCATAAATGAAAAAGTTTAGATGGATGGATGTTTGTTGGACCTCTAGAACGACTGAAGGAAAGCCGCGGAATTTTAGTATAGATACAGAGAATACTCTGGAAGTATACTCAGGCTACTAATTAAGTTGTTTTTAAATCGCGTGGACGGAGTCACGCGCGACAGCTAGTGAGAAATAATGAAAATTTGTATGCTAATTTCCCAGTAGGATATAAAATAACAAAACAAGGTCTCGACTGAGGTCATACTGTACACGTATTGAGGAAGATTTAACGATCATAAAACTAAAGGATTAAGTACATATAAGATGTATGAACCTGTACTTCGGAAAATTACAGATTAAAAACTAAATCAGTTGCTCAAGAATTTACAAGTTATGTTTCTATGCAGGTTTTATACGAGTACAATAACCGATAAAGAGTCCGTGACCTAAAACCAATATACATCATGCATACAAATGAAGCTGTTCATAATTACACAAGTAAAAACGTAAACTCACGTGCTTCTTATTTAATAAGACAATACAACACACTATTAGCAAATAGACTAAATCTATTATCACCTAACTTACGTCTTCTCTAACTAAAATCTAACAATTATTTATCAATTTTATGAAAATTGGAAGCCAATTTTAACCTTTTTTTGAGTTAAAACAGTTTGATAGATAATTTAGTAACAACCTTAAGGAAAACTCTATTTACCTTCAATACGACAATAACACGTCGTTCTGTTTGCACTTAACAATTTAATTTATTTCCAACAGGCGCCAGTATTATCTCGCGCCCGGACAATACAACACCGATTGTCGGTTATACTATTATTTACTTATATTTATTGTTGTATCAAAGTGCTTTATGAATTATTTATAATTATTTAATGGTGACTATTATCAAGCGATAAAGTGGTAATAAAATCTAATAAAGATTTATTCGTTTAAAAATGATTATAACATAAAAACTTTTTGCACAGACAAGTTATTAAAAGGTATATACTTTGAGATGTAATACATATTTACCAATACTTTAAAAGACAAATAAATAGAAGATTTTTTTTATAAAGACTAGCTGTCGCCCCCGACTCCGTCCCCGCGGAATTAAACAAAAACATTATTAGTAGCCTATGTATTCTTCCAGGCTATGTTCTATATGTATGCCAAATTTCATCGAGATCTGTTCAGCCGTACCAGAGATTCCATCCGTCCATCCATCTAAACATTCGCATTTATAATATTTTTATATAAGCAATTTTTTCGTAAATCTGCTAATATAGCTTGTACCATACCAACTAAGCTTTTTACTTAGGATATTTACAACAATAGGCGAATGGGCAGATTCGAACCCCCGACCACGTGATCGGAAATCTATACCCTTAACCATAAGGTTATTAACGCTTAGTAAGGGTTAAAGATTGTTATTTCAATTTTTTTTACTGTTAAAAACGCAAGTTCATCATGAAACATCGTTATTTTTAAATGTCCTTAAAAATGTTTTATTCGCTATTTGCATTATCAAGTTTCCGACGTTTTATTAACAAGATTTCCTATAGATTTTCTAATCTTATAGATATTTTATCTTTACCGGTGCCAGATAAAACAAATTTTAATTAAAAATTACACTGCAATCAGTTATTGTAATTCGAAGAACACTATTGTTATTTCAGGTTTTTCAAAAGGAATAAGAGGGATGGTTATATTTTTGTAACTTAGGTGTATGTTTAAGTATTTAACTTGCATTTATTAATCTCCGACACTATTTTAACTTAGAATCAAGTTGCAGTGTTGTGTTGCAGTGCATAATTTTAAGTGTCGAAAAAAGAATATTCAAGGGCTTAGCACGAAAATGTGCGAAAAAGTATTCCTAAACGTCATCAAGAAAATTAGATTTGTACAGCACCCTCATCGGATGTAAAGTGTAGCGCCAATTTTCATACAAATGTTATCGATTACGTTACGAATACTTTCTCGGAAAATTTTCATGCTAGGCCCTAATAACGGTTCGTTTCACGATTTTTTTTCTTTTAATTTTCCTTGTTTCCTAAAATGCTTTGTTAAAATATATGCACGGTATAACTTTTACAACGGTTATAAATGTAGACTTTGTTATCTACGAATATATGAGTTTTAATACTAAGCCAAATTTGTTATTACATTTTTATTACCATCTCATAAACACTAAGTCAAGTTAATCTTTATTATGGATACTAAACAAATTCTTAAAAATAAATAGTCCAGTAAGAATCATAAAATAAATACTTAATAAAATCAATTTCATAGAAATATTTTAAAAAAAATCGTCAGAACTACGACGACCTTGACGGCGAAAAAAGAGAACAAAGTCTTCGATGTCGATCGCGGCTTGAAAACACTGATAACGTTAATAAAGTCAGTTGATATTTCGGGATGGCCAAGTACATAAAGGTTCCTCCCATCCTCCCCCACCATCCCCTTAGTAACTGCGATACATTCTTTAGTGACTTGTCATTTGCTCAAAGCAATCGACATGTTCCTTTGGTATATTTTTACATATGTTTGTTACATTATATAGGAAGTTGGGAACATTGTTTTATCACAATGCTTTATTCACGAGACTAGCTGTCGCCCGCTAACTCCGTCTGCGCGTAATTAAAAAAAAATAGTTCCCGGAAGTTATTCGTTTTTTTGCTCACCTTTTAAACCTTCCCTAGACCTCCACGAACATTTCAAGACCAAGATAAGATAAATCCGTTCAGCCGTTCTCTAGTTTTAGCGAGACTTAAGAACAACTATTGGTTTTTATAAATATACTAGCGGACCCGACAGACGTTGTCTGACAATTTGACACTGCGATGGTAGCGCCGTTTGTCGGATCCAATGTAAAACATTCCAAAATCAACAACTACTAATAAATTAAAAATTAATTAAAAAAACATTGTCCAGCGGACAAAATTGTGAATCTAAACCATTCCCAGATCCCCTTGAACACACACAAAAAATTTCATCAAAATCGGTC